CTCTTTTTTTTCGTTCTGTTCGATTAATTGGTATATGAGAAGAACATGGCCCATGTCATATAGAACGGTCCGTAAACGGCTTGAAACGATCCAAAAACGGTAAAAAACGACTGCCGTTACGACGATCGCTTACAGAGTGCCGTAAAACGAAGAAATACGACGAAAAACGATATCCGTTACGATGGTCGTTCACGCACCACCGAAAACAGCTGCCGTTACGATCATCGTTTTTTTGCCGTTTCACACTTCTTTTCATTGTGTCAACATAAGTACTGTAAAGTCATCCTTAGACACCTCCTGATGATTGATAATCGAATAGACACTGCCTATTCAAAAAATGAATGCTATTTCTTTTTATTTACATTCCTTCTGTCGTCGTGTTCAATACTATTTATTTTTTATTTACGTTTTTTTCAATGAAATATTCCACCGTAAGGATTTTGTTTAAATAAAAATGTTGCTTTTTTATTTTAGATTAACTTCAACCGAGATACACTAAGTATTTCATTCTAACAAATCCATTTATCTATTTTTCTTTAGATCTATTTCAATGAAACATTCAACAGCAAGTGCTCAACTTAAATAAAAAGTATTTGTTTGTTTACTTAGATTCATCTCGGTAAAATATTCAATAGTGAGTATTTTATTTGAATAAATATTTTCTTTTTTTATTTTAGATTAATTTCAATGGAAATATTTAACAGTAAGTATTTTATTCTAACTAAGTTGTTTATTTATTTTTATTTAGATTTAGCTCAATGAAATATTGAATAGTAAGTATTATATCTAAATAAAAACATCCATTTTTTTAAATTGGGTTTATCTTGATTAAACATTCAACAGTAAGTATTTTCCATAATTAAATAACTTTATTTTTTTATTTTAGGTTTATTTCAATTGAAATACTTAACAGTAAGTATTTTATTGTAACTAATTTATGTATTTTTTTTATTTAGATTTAATTCAATGAAATATTGCATAGTAAGTATTTATTGTAAAATAACAAATTGTCTTTGGCAAAGATTAGGAGAGTGAAAAAAACAGTGTAAATAAGAATCTAAACGGGCAAATTCCTTCCCTAATACTAATGACCGTTTCGCATCGGATACGGCCTCAAGCGGCGCCGTTTACGTTCCGGGGAAAAACTGCCCTCAATCCGAGCTGACGGAAAACGGTCAAAAAACGGCGAAAACAGGCGATCGTTTTACCCCGTTTTTTCACTGTTTCAGGCCTTTTAAGACGTCGTTTCAGACGGCGTGAATGATGGACATGGGAGGATGCGACTAAATGCATATGTATATGTCGTATCGAAGTTAGCATGTCTATCGAAGTTATAACTTCGATAAACAATTTTATCGAAGTTGTAACTTCGATAAACATATTTCATCGAAGTTATAACTTCTATAGATTATTTCATCGAACTTACAACTTCGATAAAGTAAGGTTATCGAAGTTGTTTAGATGACGTTAAATATGAAAATCGTTTGTTATTTTAAATAATATTACTAAATTTTTTAGCTACTGTTAATTTTTTTATTCAGCAACACACATTTATTTGATAAAAAAAAATCCAACAATCACAAACTATCAATAAATATTGAGACAAAGCACATAGAATTAACTTTTATATCTGATCTACATGTAATTAATATTTTATTTAAACCAATTATATTCTTTACAGTGACTATCAGTCTATACTTCTCTTCCTAATGATAGCACATCAACGTTTGTGATCACCTTTTCTACAATTTACATCTTTTTTTTCTGAACGGAAGATAAAATAAAATGAAGAGATACAAAAGAACATTTTGTCCGAGTATTTATTGATAGTTTGTGATTGTTGAATTTTTTTTTATCAAATAAATGTTTGTTGCTGAATAAAAAAATTAACAATAGCTAAAAAATTTAGTAATATTATTTAAAATAATAAACGATTTTCATATTTAACGTTATCTAAACAACTTCGATAGCCTTACTTTATCGAAGTTACAACTTCGATAAAATTGTCTATCGAAGTTATAACTTCGATAAAATTTTTATCGAAGTTATAACTTCGATAGACATGCTAACTTCGATACGACATATATATATTTCGAAAGAAATGTGAGAAAACAAAAAGAATTAAAGATGAACCAATATTGAGATGTAAACGAAATGATAAAATTTTTACTTGTTTATTTCGAAGTATTATAATAGGATATTGTTAGAATTATGCCTCTATCTACAAATTAATTATCGAAAAAAAAACATAGTTGTCTTCAAGAAAAAAATATTATATAAATGAGAAAAAGACAAAATTGATATTAGAACTAGGATTATAATAATTGCCATCAACGCATACTATAAAAAACGTGCTTAGGATATTAAAATAAATGAAAATTACGTACAAATATTTTCAAAAACGGTAAAAACCTTGACTTAACGCTTTTCTTTGTTCCTATCACCCTTATTAGTCTACTTGGTTAATTAAAGAGTAAATAGTAGAATATGATTTAGAAGTTCAAGTTTGAGCCTAATACATAATATTCCAATCAAATGGTGATTATCCATATATTTCTGCACTATTTAAAGCGTCATTAGCGATAGAGTTCAATCCACCAACAATCAGCACTTTTCCATTGTTTAGTATCGATGCTGTGTGTGCGAATCGTGCAGTAGCCATGTTACCGATCTGTGTCCAAAGTCCTGTTGCTGGATCGTACAGTTCGGTATTATTCGATACACCAGATGACTCGACTCCACCAGCAACTAAGACTTTTGCATTACTCAGCGTTGAAGCTGTGTGATAGGATCGTTCAGTATTCAAGTTGCCAGTTGGTGTCCAAAGTCCAGTTGTTGGATCATACAGCTCTGCACTATTCAAATTGCCATTAGACCCGTATCCGCCAACAACCAAAACTTTTCCATTGCTTAGTACTGATGCCGCGTCAAGCCATCGTGCATTAGCCATGTTACTGGTCTGTGTCCAAAGTCCAGCTGTTGGATCATACACTTCTACACTATTTAAAACGTCATTCAGCCCGTATCCACCAACAACTAGCACTTTTCCGTTGTTTAGTATCGATGCTGTGTGAAGCCGTCGTACGTTATTCATGTTGCCAGTCGGTGTCCAAAATCCTGTTGCTGGATCGTACAGCTCTGCACTATTCAAAGTACCATTAAAGTCGTATCCACCAACAACTAAGACCATTCCATTACTTAGCGTTGAAGCTGTATGATAAGATCGTTGAGTATTCATGTTGTCAGTCGGTGTCCAAAGTCCTGTTTCTGGATCGTACAGCTCTGCACTATTCAAAGTGCCATTAAAGTTGACTCCACCAGCAACCAAGACCTTTCCATTACTTAGCGTCGAAGCTTTATGAAAATATCGTACAGTACTCATGTTGCCAGTCGGTGTCCAAAGTCCAGTTGTTGGATCATACAGTTCTGCACTATTTAAAATGTTACCATGCCCGTATCCACCAACAACTAGCACTTTTCCATTGTTTAGTATCGATGCTGTGTGCCCATATCGTGGTACAAGCATAATGTCAGTATTCGACCACTCTAGAAAGGATAACTTCAATATAGTGATTCTCAGGATTGTATATGAACTTTTTGTATCACTTTCATAGAAAACACCTCTTAGCTTACATTTGTATTTAGGTTCCTGAATAAAAGGTATAACCTTGAACGAGAGAGGTGCTTCATAGAACATCTCTGATGCTAATATTACCTTTTTAATTTAACCCTTTCAATCCTGACATTTTCTATCATTCTATACACGGTTGAAGAAAATCTAGATTCTCCCTCTTGCGTCCTTATTTAGATAATCAGCTGTACACCAAGTTCAGCTACGCTAGTTCAGCACGAAAAAGAATATTTTCAAATCGAAGAATACACGCGTTTCTTTGAACACACATATGATATGTATAATGTAGGAAGCAGAGACCGGCGGAACGATCAAAAACTGTCCCGGTAAGGCGCGTCGTGAGTGGTTCAAAGACTCTGTCCCGTCCCGCGTCTCGCTACAATTTTTTTAATCCCGTCTCGCCTAATCCCGCAAGTAGATTTTCACCAAAAGAACACAGCGTATATATATCGTTGAAAAACCGAAGGTAAGGAAAGCATGAAGCAAGCGTGTTTGATCCATCGGTAGAATTAGACGAGTCACATAGATGATAGAGAAGAAAGTGAGTACTGTTGGATGTGAAGGAGTAAGTCTTGCAACACTTTTGGCAAGAAACAAATTTGTTAATATGTTCTGGAGGACCACCATTAGAATCAAAAAGTGCTGAAAATTCAAATACTAGCCAACAGGCAGCTGTCAGTTTTCTATTAGTATTGTTTATAACGACAAAACGATCTTTCTCTTTCTGGAGGAGATTTTCAATCTGTACACAAGAATAAGCTGTATGACTTGAAGTACGAATGAGTGTCGATGGTGTTGAAGTAGGAGAGACGAGATCAATTCTCAATGAAAACGAAATAATACGAGAGCATGGAGAATAGCTACGACCATCGACTCTTCTCGCCGTAGAATCCATGTGTAAAGACGAATTAAAATGAACAACTTTTGAAAGCAATAATTGTGACGAAATGAAACAGAATGAACAAATGTATACATGCCTAGCTTTATCCCTTTGGGGACGGAATTATTTTTCGATTGAAAAATGGTTCTTTCGCCAACTTATTGCATTTGGCTCAAAATGATTACATAAAAGCCTTATGACAATGCATTAAGATAAGAGAGGAAGTGATCATGGCATCATTGTATAGAGCAGAAACAAAAGAGAAGATCCGAGAAGCATCTATATGACAGGAAGAAAGAGAGAAAAGATATCCATGCGATGGCAACTGTAATGACCTATTATCTTACAAGTGATCACAGCTTAGTGAGGAGCAAACATTTTCCTTACTGGAGAATAGGTGATACAACCCTTGTACCACCGTCCTCAAAGGGTTATTCTATTTTCTATGTTAGACGAATTATATTATGATCATTATCTTATTCTTCGATCATCATTCATCTCATTCAATTCAAATTGGCCGTCAATATTGTTCTTTTTCTGTCTCAATGTGTGTTCACGCAATAGTCGACCGCTTTTATAG